ATAGTTTCTCATATCCATTGTTATCTGGGTTTTTTTTCTTAGCCCTGATTAAGGCCTGAACGGCAAAACTAAATATAATTTATTTGTTTACATTTTTTTGACTGAATAATCCAACCAATCTTCTCTTTAATTGAGTAAAATAAATTGGGAGTAAGATCATTTACAGATTGGCGAGTGGTAATTACAGCAGAATCACGATATTTCGTGTTCACGTAATTATTAAAGAGAGATAGAGCAGAAAAAAATTGCATTTAAGCGGGACCCAATGATTACTAATCAACTGAAGGAAGATAAAATATTGTTAAGATTCCATCGATTTTGAAAAATAAGGAAATAATCAAACTCCAGAATAGGTGCAGAAAACAGGTGGGTACCCACAACAAGATGCTTTTAAAAATTCTGGCCAAACAGGATCAGTATAGTTTTATTTTAATTTCTATTTGGTGTAAAATTTTCTACACTTCTGAAAGACGCTTAACAAATCGCTTGACAGAGAAACCTAAAAGAGGACGATGCAAGAAAATATGGTTGAAGGATGTGGAGGAGGATATGGCGCTTGTGGGCTTCGAGAAGAAGACGTACAAGATCGACGGAGAATGTAAAAGCTTTTATAAATAGTATTAGAATAAGTATTGTAAAAAAAAAGTTATGGAACTGCTTTCTAGCAAACTGCTTGAGAAATTTTCTTGTTTGTCTTGAGTATTCATGTTTAATGCTCTATATTTCTTATAGGGTTTAAAATTATTGTTCATCGGGTAATTCGTTCTAATCTCAGTTGTGACAGAGATAATAAAATAATGAGGGTGTTCATTAGCGTCATGTCTGACCGCAGATAGTGAGAGAGTACTCAATACGACAAGAAGATGTCATGTTTATAGCGTTACAGTCGTTAGCCAACCATTCCTTCGCATTTACGATCTAGATTGTCCTCGGGGCTTCGTGTTGTGGAAACATTTTACCTTATGATACGCTGATACAGTTATCGGCATCGCTCGTTCCTTATTATGAAAAGAATGAAGAAGATAAGGTATTATAGTTGCTAAAGATTAAGCCGTGTTCTTTCTTGAATTACCTGATAAACCTTAATATTTAGCGAAAGAATACCAGCATCTGCAAATTCTTATTTTTATATTTAGAACATCTTTATTTTTCTACTCGCACCTGGGAGTGCCAGCAAGCAGCGAGTGTGCTGTCGTGGAGAAGACGTTGGTAGGCCTGAAGCAGGGGAGTGCCCCGCGGCCTCTCTTCCTATCTTGATTTAATATTTATTGTTGATGGAGGAGATCCCTCATCCAGCTTCTCTTGGGCCTCCTACGGGTGCCATCGGGCATGTTGGTTGTTGTCATGCCTTGAATTAGTGAGTTGGTATGACTGTCTAGGTTATTGTGAAATATTTTGTGATGTGTTCGCATATTTCGTTAACTGTTTGCATCTGTAAGCCTTTGTGTAATGTCAGGAGAGCAAAAATCATGTTAATCGGCACATTGATGGATAGATTGTTGACTGTAACTAACTGAAGAGATGTTGGTTGGGGTGTTCAGTCAAAATACAAAGTAAAAATAAATATATGTATTTATTGTTATTGCCTTTAGGCCGAATTTTGGACCAAGTTTCAGGTCTTTATCAGGGCTAAGGACAGACAAGATAACATGTAATAAAATAAATAAAAATATATGTTCCTTACGAAGTATATTTATTTTTTTTTTACTTCGTATTTTGACTGAACAGCCCAACCAGTTTGTCTTCAATTATATTATTTATTTGAAACTTTTTTGGTTTGGTAACTAAGAACATTTTTGGTGGATCTGAACAATTTAAGAATGTTTTTGTGAATTTCGACCTTATTTATCGAAAAAAACATAATAAGTGTATTAAAATGTCATAACCCTTTTATATGTGAAATATGGTGAAACAAGCGCACAATTGTCTGATGTTAATAAGAAAAAGATGATAAATGATTTTAGTGATTTAAGGCTATGAAATGTTACTAAATGACTTTTAGTAATAAACCTACGATATACTACATTATCGTCAAAAGGGAGTTAGCCATTTATAATAATTTACAAACTATTTTGTTATGCATGTTCTTCATCTTTATCGCTTTGAAGCTATTATTTACTAAATTATTGTTACACTAACTCTTTAAAAAAATATTGTTATTTTTTAAGAAAAGATTTTTTTTTAAATTTAAATAAAAGTAGATAAATTATAATATGGGTTGTCTGAAGTGTTCTTATTTTTTTAATGTATGATGTTTTTCTTTGTTTTTAATTATTATTTTTTAATGTATATACTATGGTTTTTAATTATATATATGAATGCACGATTAGACAATAACGTCAGTTCTATTTGAATACTAATGTACAATTTACAGATATATGTCACTAAAGACAAACTACTTTCACCCAAATCGTCCAAACTGTAATTAAGCGTAATAAGGACAGAAGGGAACAAGTTTTTAAAGGGGGCTAACAACACTCTTTTAGTAAATTAACAAGATAATAAATGTAGAGGCGATACATAAGGGGGAGGATGTAACACCTTGTAAGACACCTCAAATGATGTCGTTTGCCTACGCAGCGACCTCCCTTCATCGTTTTATTTTTTAGTTGCCTCAAGTTTATAAATGTTTCACACTTGTCTGAATCTATCAAGGGGCCGTAGAGACACCGTTACCTCATCAGATCGGCTCCCCGATAGCCGGGGGATGGGGACATGGCTTCCGACGGTGTCAGATTGATGGTACCGACTCAGGTGTCAGGTAAATTTAAGGAAAAGCTGTCACGCTCTTTAATAATATTCCTTGAGAGAGTTATTCACCGCTATGTAAATGTGAAAAGGACCTAAACAACATTTGTCTTCGGTTTGAAGGGTAGCATTGGAAGTAAGGGGTTCTTAGTTGTAAATTTAAATCAAGATAAGTTTTTATATTAGCTGGGATCTGTTCGATTAGTAAGTACCGAAAGTGTGATATAACATCAAGGCATTTCAATCAATGCACGACTTGATATAGCAAGATTAATTTTATTTGAGGATACGTTAACTCTATGTAAACTGAGGTGGATTATGCGAATAATTCGAGTTGGCCTATTATCTTGAAAAAAATCAATGTTTAACATCAATTTTATTTATAAATTTTATAAAATTACTTAATTGAAGGGTGGTATAAGGTCCTGAAATATTGACATATCTTTGAATATTTTGTTTGTAAGAAACATTTTTTAAATTCTTAGGAAGCTGAATTCAAATCGCCTTTATCTAGAATAAGCTCATGTATATTCTCACTCAATCAACTTGAAGAAATATTGATAATATATCACTTTACTCCTTTATTATTTGCAATAATTAATTTTGCCTAAAATCTGTCTTAATTTATCTCTTTTATGAATGGTCCGAGGTACAGACTCCAAATTATTAACATCAGCCTGATACTTCGTAAAGAGCTTCATCTCATCGTAACCTGCAACTATTATATTTACGAAAATTCTAGGAACTGGGGCATTTTCGATCTGGAGGTTTGCAAACTTTGTCAATTTAATCAGGTAATAAAAACTCCTAAACACCCATTAGCTATCCACTTGGATCGTAAGATAATTTGAGTCGAGAAAAAGGTGGCCTTCAAAAATATTGAGCCGTTATCTAAAATATCTACGGCCCCAAAATAACTAGGTTATGAAGACCAAACGCCCCTATATTTTTGTAGGCCACTTTTTTTTTCGATTTTTTGATCAAATTATCTTACGATCCCAGTGGAAAGCAAATGGATATTTACGAGTTTTTAGTACATAATGAAATATAAAATGTTTGCCAATTTGCCATAATGAAACGATCCAATTCCGAGAATTCTTTTAAATAAAATAGTTGTAGGTTACGATGAGATGAAGCTATTTACGAAGTTTCAGGCGGATGTTAATAATTTGATAAAAATGGATCTGTAGCACGGACTAGAACTTGACCATTCAATAGAAACTATTGATATAAATATTGGTTATGTTTAATGTATTACGTTTGAATATGTAAGTCAAGATAGAGATTGTTTGCACGAATTTTTAAATTATTTTATCCAAATTACTTATTTCTTTTATTATAGGTATGTGTGCATACATAAAACTAAAACTGAAAAAAAATTAATATGTAATGTATATGTATCTAAAAAAATATATTTATATGTGTATGAGTGAGTAAATATATTTTACCATATATTTTATTCTGGCAGGTTTCGATCCTTTTGTTTTATAATTATTTATAACTTTATGATTAATTAGTTAGTAAACTATTTGTCAACTATATTTAATGTTTTTTTTTAATGTTAACTATGTTTTTGAGGTTAACTCCATTTTTATGGGGTGTATCGTCGATAAAAAATAAATAAATACATTCAGGTCAAGATGTCTAATAGAACTGTTTTGTGAATTAGTTGTTTGTATTTTTTTTTAAAGAGATGTGAAGCTTTGTTCAATAATGTATAAGTATATAGTTGTGTTATCTGTTCCAAGTCTTTTGAGTCAGATCCAAGGGTTGCGTATAAATCTTTTGTTTTGAAGAAATTAATAAAGTTAAATTAATTCATTCTTGAAGTTGGATGAGTGATTAAAACTAATAACGAAAAATTCGATAGTAACTGTTGCCTTATTTACAAATAAAAATATAGTATGATTTATATAAAATAATATAAAAAAATATAACTTAAGCGTCGTGTTGGTGGAATTCATGCTGGGACATTACGTTAAGATCTTGTGAAATATAATATCTGCATTAAAAAAAATATATATATTGGTTTGGTTTACATTCTTTCAATCACATATACCAAATTTTTAATTCGATTGTTCTATGACAAAAGATTCCTTGCACACTAAAAGTGTCTACCTTAAGTTGGCTTTTTTTTGTTTTTTTATTAGATAACCTCTTACCCACCATTTCTGGCATACGGGGGTATGCCTTAAGTTGGCTGTCTATATTTATATATTGTTAAATTACATATGTGTTTATATAAAGCTTACCGTATCCATCTTCTGAATTGTCGGCAGCGACGGCCCCTGTCCTGTTCACCCTCAGCATGGAGCAGGAGCACTGGTTGTACAGCGTCACTGACCGGGCCACAGGCGGCACTGATTCACTGCTAACCACCTGTCGGCATCCCAACATTAATTACTAATTACTAATTACATTGTATATTCAACTGTTAATTAACAAGAGTGATATGTGTAATGCGTTAATTAATGGGAGTATAACTTAGTTTGTCTTGGAGATATGTTTTATCACTATCGGGTATTTTTTCCAACAGTTGATGTGTGATGTACTGACGGATCTATGGAAGGAAGGGGCATTTACAAGATGAAGTCTCTAAAATAGAAAAAACAATTTTTTTTCCCATTACTTCATGTATATTTATGCGAGTAATTTAAACTAAATACTTCCTGGACCGGACATGTAATCAGGAGGAATGAATTAACATGGACCAGGCAGTTTATGGATTGGTATCCAAGAGAGCACGTGAGGAAGAGAGGACGCCTGCCGACGGACTGGAACAAGGAGATGAAGAAGACTTGCGGGGGAGCAGCCTGGAAGTGAGTAGCATTGGAGAAGAAAGAGTGGAAACGGATGGGACAGGTTCATTACCTAGTGTTGTTGCAAGAGAGCTAGGAAAAAAAAAAAAAAGAAAAGAAAGAAAGATTATCGAACTCAAAACTTCAACAATGTAGATTTTGTACATAAGAATGTTAAGTATAAATCAAAATCTAAAGATTTTGTATATATGTATTTTTATTTTTTTTATCTATTTTTTTGCATTGTATGTACAAATAAAGGTTATTATTATTATACTTCAAATATATTTCTTCTAAAATATATTAAAATATTTTCTTTTTGAATTATAACGCATAACAGCTCATAAATGTAAAAACCTATCAAGGAAAAAAAAAGTTTATCTCTAAAAGCTTTATTGTTCCTATAATTACGTTCTTTCATTTATTTATTTTCTTGACCATACAGTGTAATTACCATTATTAAAAAATAAGTCCTTTCAATTTTTTTTTGAATTTTCAATTTTTTTTGCACTTCAATGGTATTAAATCTGACATATAAAGTTGGATTCAATACTTCCTCTAGCAATCGTTAATCATGAGACATTATGTCACTCATCCTTAGCAAGTTCCTTCATGCACCGGCGGTTCTACAGGAGGCTTTATAATCTACTTAATCTTATAATTATAATTATAATCTATTTAAATTAAACAATTAAAAGTAAGCACTATGACGATAAAATGTTTTAAAATTACTACTAAAAGCGTTGTTATTTCAGTAATTATCGGTTTATATTTTTTTTTTGTTTTTTTTCTTTAAGTACCCTATAGACATAATTTTATATAGTAGGTTTTTTTTCAGAGTAATTACAATATAAAAAATCCCTCCTTAAATCTCGTGCCTGCTACTGTCTTCAAGTGGGACAACGGAACATATTTCTACCCTTCGCACTTATATGTTTTCTCTTGTTATTAAAATTCTTACTTCCATATATTTATAGGTCGAGTAATGATGATTTAAACCGAACATTTGAATACAAGAAGTACAATGCATCAAGCCGATGTGCACCTCCTAAATTTACATAAAAGTGACTCAAACTATCCATTTTTCATAGAGACGAAGATGATGAACAAAGAACGGACAAGAGTGGCAATAGAAATTGATAAATCACCGAAGCAGGTGGAGGTGTATTGGACATTATAATTTCGTATTGTGTCGCGTTTACTAATTACAGGCGGTGTCTGAAAAATTTATAATTTATGGTTTATTGTGACCACGGTCTTTTTGAAATTTGTAATATCAATTACGATTCGATTACCAAGCCTGCAATGGATTACGAAGCGTTTTTAACAAATGTTGAATAACTCGAAATTCTATTACATTGTTAACAAGTACTGTTTGATGATTTGACATCTTGTCGCTGGTATGTTTGAACTAAGTCGAATCCATTCCAAGATAAGATACTCCAAATCTGTATTAATAACTTTACAGGCTCGTGCATGTCCGAGTGAATCATGTCGCCATGATTCATCCTAATAAATATTTTAATTTTGGAATCCACTTGTTATAGCACGCTTCCTCAATTGATACCATTTTGTCAATATTGCCTTATTTTTTTCTTTACTAGTAACTAAACATAAATTTGATAAGGGTATCCTTAGAAACCTATAAAAAAAATTTATTCAAATTTTGGCTGAAATATTTAACCGAAATGGTGCTTATTTGCTTCTTATTTAGAATCGATTAAGGATATTTAAAAATTTAATAAAAATCGATTTTTCAGATGATTATTTAAAAAAAAAAAAAAGCCGCTTTTTAATAAGGGATGCATTTAAATATAATACTGTTTAGAAACAAATAAAATAAAATATCTATATACATGGCTGTTATTTCATATAGAAGTTTTCATATTATTCATCGTTAATAAGAAAACAAATAAAAAATCCATGATTTCGTAAAAAAATTAATTGTATTAAAAAAAAATCAAACTATTTTTTGGTGCTGCTTTAAAAAGAAATCATAGCATTGATATTAATTAATGTGCAGGAGTCTTTCTATTCTTTATTTATTTTTTGTAACAATATTAGGAACAACTTAGAAATAGAAATAGAAATAGAAAATAACTTTATTCTGGGACAAAGTCCCTTAAGAATAACAAAATAGAACATAATTAAAATACTACATCTGGCCAAAATAAAACAATAATAAAAAAGAGAAAGTAAAGAAAATATTAGTTAAACAAGCTATATACAAAAAAAAAAACTGTATACAAAACACTTAAAATTATGATAAAACACTTAAGACTATGTGCAGTAGAACAAATTATAATTATACTCTTTTGAAAAATAAAATAATAAAAAATACATTGAGTTCTGCTGACAATATAAAATATCAGTGTCTTTAAATAATGATTAATATGTAGACTCATCATTGTCAAATGCTAGAGGTATAGATTTAATTATATACCAATAAAAATTAATAATAAAAAAAACAAAAAAACAATAGATAAGGTCAGTGGCATTAAGAGCCGGAAGATATTGTAATATCCCTAGGGAAGTTCACAGTATAGAATAGCACTATCGTTTGATAATGACTAGAAATGTATATTATCGAAAGTTTGGCAAGTATCTGACTGTTTTTGGGATAGGAATTGGAATAGGAGGGAATGTGGATGTGGAGGGGGAATGCCGAATTTTGAGAGGTAAAGAATTCCAGAAATTTACAACGCGAGCTATAAAGGAATTCTGAAATGAGGCAGATCTGTGCGAAGCGATATAGAGGTCAGAAGGTCGAGATCTTGTTGAAAGGGACTGAGGACTTGAATTGGAGAAGGTCATGCATTCATATAAAATGAGCATTTGTTATAGATTAGATATTTAGATTAGAAAATGTCACGGATAAAAATTACTAATAATTTTATTTTGTTTCAAAATAATATAAATATAAAACATTAGATTTTAATTCAAAGATTTTAGACTTATTTTTTATCTACGTCTCTCTCTTTTTCTCTATTTATTTCTATGTTTTTTTTATGCATTCGTAAAAGAGGAATAGTTGTTATTCTGATTGCACCTGAGTGTCACGTGAAGTTATATCACCGTGTTTATTTAAACGTATTTATTTTTCATATTATTTCTTATCTCATAATTGTTTTTTATTTATTTTTTTTAAAGATATATCATTCTGAAAGAAAGTTTTAATTTTAGGTGGTGATCTTTATCTTAGTTTTAATCTGTTCTTTCAGGCAAAAGCTCTCCACGTATTACGAGAATACGTAGAATTCATTTTATGTAATACTTGGATTATTAATTATTTTTGCAGATGTTTAATTAAATAACAGCAGTATGAATATAATTTTACATACTACAAATATGTACTGTGGAATTCAACAATACAATAGAACATAATTTTTTTTAAATCTTATCTATATCCAATTATCCGGTACAGGAAACTAAACGTTTTAAATTAAAATTATTTATTATGGAATTAAATATATCTATTTTATATAACAAATAATTCTAATAAATATTAGGGTTATTATTAATGTCATCTGCCACCAAAGAAATATAAGTTTCATCTTACAGTTTTATTTCCGCCTTCTAATATTGTTAAGTGCGTGCATGGTTGAATCAAAATCTGACAATAAATAAACAAGGAACGATTTTAATTTAAATTGATATAGAAAAATGGCCTGAAACGGTTCTAGATAGCCCAAAACGTCGGGATAAAATCAAGAATATAAAGAAAAAGAAATGTGAGCGACTATTGGCCTAATATTTATTTAAGAAAAATATATAAGATACATTTGGTCCAGAATTATGTTCGAAACCGACCAGCTTTACCTTGATCCCCTTGAACGAGAATTGGAGTTAAAAAAAAAAACAACTTGAAAATATAAAATAATTTGAGCACATTTTAAACTTTTTAAAAGTTCTTTCTACCCTGAGGTGGCGAATTTCCCACATCTTCCGTTGTTGTTGATGGTCATTTTTGTACTTAACATGTCAGAAACAAAATATTAAATAAATGTCAGCTGTGCTTAAATTATTTTTTTTTTTTCGACTTTTAAAACCCCATCGAATCAGAATGGTTAGTTTTATGCTTTACTGCATACCTGCAGAAGTCGAAAAGCTTAGATGTCCATGATTTTCTATGATCCATGATGTTTCATCCCACTCTAAACCATAATGCTTAATTTCATTTACTTCATTTTCCTTTCGTCTTTAAACATTTATTTTATTTATTTATCCCTCGCTTACTTTCTGCTACACGGGTTTGGTAGGGATGACATATCTGTCAATTGATAGTCTCCAAATAAGATTACAAAACTGAAAATAATGACACGTGAGGCATGGAGAACGAGAGTTCCCAGAAATACTTCTTTCCTGGCTCGATTCAATTATTTCGGTTGATTAAGGAAGCAGATTTCTCATCCAGCGCCTTTTTAGTCCCCTCCTCATATTCAGCATATATCTTCTCCAGGCATGTCTGTTATTAAACTGTTGCTATTTTTGTTTTATTTTTAATATAATCGTTGGTAAAGAATGTTTATATGTTAGTCAATTGTTGGTAGGTGGAAGTCTGTATGTCGTTAATAACATACCAAGGTGCTTTTGTAATGAGTTTAAAGTTTTTGTATGTTGGTATTTTTGGCGATATATTTGAGTATGTCCGTTTGAGTTTAGGTAAGTGTGCATTTCCTTTTGACTCTCCATTTCTTCAATTGTATTTTTTATTCCCGAGAACAGTCTCTACGAATTATTTTTTTTTTAAATCTAAGTCAGGAATCATCGATTTGAGGGAATATGTGATTTAATTATGTTATGCAGTTTCTATAAGGTTTGCTGATAATTTTTAAATTATAAATTCAATCCTTCCAGTCTAAAGTACTTAGAACAATATTCGATGCTCTCTTCTATGTAACCAATAAAACCTTAGATAATGACCTTAATATTCCATTTATTATTGATCTTTTTCCAGACAATTTTTCCAAATTTTACTCGAATCTTACCCATCACCAAAATCCCGCAGCACAGTCCTTATCTTGCACCACTCTTCTCTACAATCTTCCTCGTAGGTTAAAACGGTAGTGGCCGATAGAACTTTTGTAACATCTATATATTGGAGTTCTGGCAATGGCCAGATTCTCCATTGAAGTCATGAGTATCTGTGGCTGTAGCGGCCTTACTCAGCTTCCCCTGCTCTTAATACCAGAGAAGCGGTTGAGGGAGAATTGCAGGGTTCTCCTGAAGCATTGCTTTTCCTTTCACAAGTGGGAGGACAAGATTAGTTCGGAATCAATCTTGCTGATTGTAAATAGTGTACATAGATATGGGCTGTGTCTAAGATATTTATTTTATTTTTCCTTTCATTATGATATTTTATTTTGTTCTTATTTCTATGTATATTATGTGCTCTCTGAACTCTATTATAATTGGTCCTAATTGATACAGATTGTAATATTTCTCAATAAACAAGTTAAAAAAATAATATAATTTTATAATAAATGAAAAGTTATTAATTATTTTGTTGATGGTGCCAATACTCACTCCGTCGATTATTGGTGTCAATAACCCCAGCTTACTTTTCTGATTTTCCTTTTTATAGCTTAGCAGATTTATAGTTGTTATTATTTGTGTTTTTGCGTACGGGAGTTCGCGTACTATTAACTACAAAACTTTGTTAATATCTCGCCGGGGTAATGGTTCCAAAACAACTTGTGGTAGCGAATGAGAACGTGAATTGGAAGGACCCGGATGATAAATTCGGTCATATACCTTTATAGAGGGTGAGTATAAACATGGTGATCTATATCGCCGGGTTGTTTGTACTGGAAGACCAGGGTCTATCGGCTATATAGCTTGTGATGGATGGCTTTGCTCATCCTAACGTAAACAGCCTTTATTGTGCTTCATTTAGCCCTCGGTATCCTTATGATGGCCCTTCAAGGATACCGTTCATAGCTGAAGTGTTCTTCCTTGGAGGCATAGGCAACGGTGTCTATTGGGGAGGGGCAAAGGTCAGTATAACATGATAATAATGTTCTATGCATTTATGGGAGGAGAGGAGGGGTAATATACGCCTTACATAAAGGAGTAGCTCAACAATCAGTTTATTATCTGTATTATAACATACTAGTATAAACCTATGGAAACTCTCCTATCTCTCTCCTGGTATAATATGTCAACGTATTAACGACACCAGTAAAACATATTTATTCGTATAGTTTATACAACACACACAATTGGTGAATTTAACCACGACTGTTAAAGTAGCAGTTTACATAATAAGTGATTGATTAGCTTATCCCACTGGAAAATATCTCTCCAGTTTATTAGTTAAGCAATTAGACACAGCTTTCCTTGAACTTATGCTCATCCATTATTTTACTTTCTCAAGACTTATTCGTTTGGTTCATATGAACCTTGCTTTGTAATTTTCTCACTTACTAACAGTATTGAAGTCTATTACTGAGATTAAATCCATTCTTGTATATTTTTTTTAATTATTAAAAATACCAAATGATTCCCATTGAGGAGTTAGGGCAACTATTTGGAGTATCGAATCAAATGTTGAAGTATTTATAAAGAGGCTTTCTCAGACATAGCTCAGGAAGTTTTCCAGCATGCAGTTGAAAGCTTATAGCTTAACCTGCATCATAAAGACCTCCGTTTATCTTTCCAATAAATTTCAGTTCGCCGAAGCCTATAAATAACAATATTTTTATTTAAAAAACTTAAACATGTGATTGTATGTAAATAACCAATGGCAACCATTTTACCTAAGAGGCTTTCGGTAAAAATTACGACTTATTTCCAAAACGGTACATTTTTGGGTCTTAAAACATAGAGCCTGATAATTTCTTTGGAACTGTACCAAGTCTTGGTGTCTGCTTCAAAATTATTAATGCTTAATTTTTTCAAACACTTTTATTTTAATTATAGTAATTTAAACTTTTGTAATTGGGATACGTCACTTCTCCATGAAATTATCTTTCTTTTCATACCTCTAATTTATTTAATCCCATCGCTTCTAAGAGCCGAAAAAGAGATTCATAGAACCGTATTGTGTGTATTGTGCATAGTATTTCGTATATTGTGCAGATTATTTCTGAAAATTATTTTTTTTTCGGTACATCAAATATTAAAATAATGAAAAACTAAAATACGCCATATATATATATATATATATATATATATATATATATATATATATATATATATATATATATATATATATATATATATATATATATATATATATATATGTATGTAATATTTCTCTGAAAATAATCTGCTGTAAAAGTTCAATAAGTTAAGATCATATACTGGAAAGATTGAATTTTTTTAACAGAATCCATTTTTTTTTCGAAGAAATACTTAAAACGATAACGAACAATTGCCTTTATAACAAAAAAAGATCAGGATGGCACTCTTTTTGGTTTAATATAATGTTTGATCATCCGAACTTTTCTCCGGATTTTTCTCTGCGGGAAGATTGAGTAGCAATATTATGTTATAACTATTTAAATTACATCTGTAAACCATATATACTTGGTAATTGGTCGGTTCATACTTTTATAACCTTCCATTGTTGGTCATATGATTTATCATCCTATTGATATAAATTTTGTAAGCTACAGTTTGGGAATAGCGCCAAAGAATATCACAAAATAAGAGGTACTATTCTGTTATTTCGCTGCTTAAGATCATTTTAGAAGAAAAGCGATACTTCACGTGATATCGATCTGAAGATATCGATTCTGGAAGAGGTATATTTCCTTTTTTTCTTTTTTAGGTTAGTTTTTCAAGTAGTATGATATAATAAATTAATACTAATTCTTTAATAAATTCCGATTTTAGCTTTTACGGTTAAGTTATAGTTTGGTCATCATTGTGGTCTGATGACACTATCACATAAGGCATGACAATATTAAAGTTGAAAAAGTCTTGAAAGCGTTGGCTAATCCACGGCTTCACTCAAATTAAGCCTTCCAATTTTCTTTATGGAATTGGCTCCAAACTATAGAATTTGGTCCTTGCTTAGCAAAATATTATAATGAATGATAATATTTGAAGAACGTATCTATTGATATGAAATTTTAAAAAATGTTGGCAGTGAGAATAAAATTTGTTCTAAAAGTTTTAGATGACTTAAACGAGCTTATATGAAGTCACTTTAACAAAATAAATTTTGATAATGAGTTGACCAAGTAGTGGATCCACCGAGGAGTTGGGGCAAAGATTTGGAGTATCAAACTTTGAATTCTCTTTAAACAGGCTTTCTCAGACATAGTCCAAGCCTGCAAGTAGAAGCTTATAGTTTAACTTGTCAAGGACTTCCGAATTTTGTAACCTAAAAACAGACTTGCAATAATATTTCCGTAGCAATATCAAAATAAATTTGCGAAACTATCATCTTTGAGTTTATTAGAATGGATCACAACTAGAGATTCCCTGGAAATAACTCTGGAGGTTGAAGTAAAAAAGGGTTGACTCTCTCTGGAAGCGGAGGTTTGATGATCGGACACCAGGCATTTTTATCAATGCCTTCTGGGCCATTCATAGGCTCTTGATGTTGCAATTTTTAAAAAATAATTATATATGTTTTATTCATACTTGATGCATTTCTCAGTTTAAGTTTATTGAATCAGACTTATAGTTTCAAGATTAATGGTACTAATTGCTCCTTAATTATTATCTATGTTTTATTTATAAAAATAAAAGAATATGTAACACTCTCTTCCTCTGAACCACAAAAGTAATTGTTTATGCCAAGGTGCCAAAAAAAAAAAATAATAATTCTAAGGGTGGCAAGTTGCGCTACTATTTTTTTTTTTAAACAGGATTAATGAAATTTCTTGAGAAGGAGGGATACACGCCATCGTCCTTGTTGGGATGGGGATAGATGGACTCCTCTATTTATCTTAAGTCTTACATAAAGTAGGCCCGATCATCAAAAAGTGATTGTAAAAAGCTCTCTCTTCCAATTTAGGACTTGATTTCCTATTTTTAAGCGAGAAATACGCTTGATGAGTTTTATCAGGCTGTGCCAAACATTTTGAAAATGGTATTATCCCTTACCGCATCATGAGAGGTGAAGAAACACCTCTGATAAGTTTCTTTATAGTCGGCCAATTTTAAAGTACTGCTACATCCTTCTCTAACACGAAGGTATATTGATACCCTGATAAAGTATAATGGGATGAATTTAAACCAATTGGTAGTTGATTAAAAATTGACTAGTAACAAATCATTAGATAAAGTAGTTTCGGGTCAATAACAATTAAGTGGCAATATGGTCAATAGTTGCCATTAGGTATTGCTTTCACTGCTAATTGGATGCCTGGCTATGAACGCCAAGACCCTGCACAAGTTTTATCGAGTTTTTTTGGTTAACTCTGACTACCTCCCTATAAAATTATCCTTGATAATCATAATTAAAAAGAAAAGGACCATCTTACCATCAATAGGCAGATAAGTAACTTCGCAGACACTGCAAGCTTTGGTAACCTGTAAAAAACAAAACAAAAATAAACATAAGTGAGTTCCGAATCACAACATAGAAATACTTTAAATAATATTTTAAAACAATGATTGGGCCAGGTGATGTAAACAATTTAATGATATCTAATGAAAAAAACATTTGTGTCCAGTGCGATGTACGGTGGAGAACTGATTTCTGAGAACAAAGACTTCCCATGGGTGGTCCTAATTCTGGGCCAGATCAGCAGAACTTACTGTGAGTCATATATGACACATGTTATTTATAGCAACAATGTAATATTATATTTTTTATTTAACACAATACTAAAATTTGATTTAATGTTCTCCTATTACGCTCAGCGAAGATGTGCAGCGGTAGCGTCATTGCACCTCGTTGGGTTCTGACTGCAGCGCATTGCATGATGAACGGGGAGCAGAATATCCCTATTAACATGCTTACAATTGATGTATACTATAGGCTTAACGCATTCAAACGATATGAAGTCGAAACGGCTTACAAACATCCCAAGTTTAGTTTTGGGAAGAAGGTAAGTTCTTCGTTTTTCCTTGCAATAACCCTGTGTTTGTCCGGATCTGATTTGCCAGATTGATTCCGGATAACGCGAAACTCATGAGAAGATCAGTGAAACAAAAAGTGTTGGCAACAATTACATTTATTTAAATTAAATACCAAGAGATTGTATGTTAGTTATATTTCAAGACGTATGGTCACTTCATGAATTACGTAAAACCACCATTCGAGATATCTTTAGTTGATTTACGATGTAGTAAATAAAGATAAAAGAAAATCAAAAACTGATATTGCGAAAGAGGATAATGAATTGAATTCCGTGTTACACTCCAACCAATAGGGATGTTCCAACCAAGGGGTAAAGAATAACACGTTAAAATTTTTAGCAAACTCGTCTTGTTACAGACATGATTTACGGAACTCAATTTTAAGAATTTCAAGTTTTATTAAATACGAATCACGCATATACTTTGGCAAATAAGATTGAACATAATATAAGATCCGATCTGCATTCATGTTAAGAAATAAATGACATGTTTTTATAAATGTCTCTTACATTACTTAATTGAAATGACGAATTTCTGTTGACATACGTAGTAAATTTCTGTATCAGTTTATGAAAAAGATTATAAAATGATATGAATAGAACGTTTTAGGTATGGCGGATCCGGATAAGCTGGGTTTCATTGTATTAAACTGTATATAAAATATATTTTCGTTTATGTTCGATAAAATATATTTTTCCCTAAAATTAATATTCATACTGAATGGATTTGTAATATATAATTCTTTGTTATCCTACCTCAGGACATGCAAGATCTCGGGTTGATACGAACTAGATACGCGATAGAAAGTACATCCGTGGGCGTTGTCTGGACTTCCATCAAGTATCCGAACTCATCTTGTACCATTTTAGGTTACGGACTCAAGGGAAGAGTGACCAAGAACGAGACTCATGTTCCATCCCTTTCCAAGATAAAAGTGAGTCATATCTTAAGTACTTAAGTTTAAAGATTAACTTTATTATTTCGAAAACACGATGATAGATCCACTTGTATTACTATTGACACTACCTGTTTTTCACTTGGAAATAGATTACCTAGTAAGACAGTAATTTTAAATAATAATTAAATATATACATCTAATAGTGTAATATTTATTGAATTTATTGTGATGAAACCTATTAGACTCTAGGAAAACTGACATCCCGTGAAGAGAAATAAGTTACCATCATTGTGGATAGACAGTCTATACTTCGCTCGATTAGATCAAAGAGTAATAATACAAAAGTTGGCACACGGAGAGAAGTCAGTAATCAGTTAAAAAACAAAAGGGTTTTAATGGACAGCATGCCACAGTGAGCTCTTTGGGAATGAAGAGGCAGATAGATTGACCAAAAAAGGATTCGAATTATAAATATCCTGCAATGTGGTTCTGCTAAACGTGTAGCCATAGAAGATCTGACATCTCAAAATTAGTGGAAAAAAGCTATGAGAACGAGCTCCTTTTAAATCAAGACGACTGCTTATTAATATCGTTTGCTTAGAGGACGACCAGTTCTATTCAGGATGCTTTTGGAGTGCGACTACCTTCAGCAGATTCTTCTTAGAGAGGGAGTTGTGAAAAGCCGTTGTGTTTCTTAGGCCATGAAAAGAGGATGGCAGCTCATTATCTTGATCCTGCCTAGGATAAATCGAGAATGATTGAGAAAACGTATGACGACTCTTTCAAATCCACCTTTATGTGATCAAAAAAATACATAGATACTTTTGTAATTACACAATCTTAATGTAAGTAGGAAATCCTTTAGTTTTTAAAAATATGTAATATCTCACAAACCAATCCATCCAAGGTTGACCCTTTCATTAGCATTTCAAACACTTTGGTAGGTGAACCTCCTTCCTATAAATATGTGTCAAAGTTTCTATACGATGGACAATCCTCTCATCTGCTTGTTCGTCGTGGACGGAATGGGACCTTGCACCGGGGACTCAGGGTCACCAATGATCTGCGAGAACAAGATCGTCGGAGTGTGCTCCCGCGCTGTCTTCGGGAACAGTAAGACGGCCTGCGGGGTGTACGACGTTGCGGTCATCCTCTACCAGAGGATCGACGCCGATTGGATCCACTCTATGATAGCCGGGGAGTACTCCAGCCATGATGTCCGTGCCGCCGGCATCCTGTCTCTTACCCTCCCACTCATCTGCATTCTGATGATGATTTGGTAAAATGAATTCCAGCAAAAGGTGAGATCTTAATGTAAGCTTTCACATATCGTACTCTTTGGTAATGTTAGAGTATCATAATGTAGCAATATCGGATTTGGATACATATTTAACAACTGGAATATCCGCACCCCTGTAAATATTTCTAAACAACCAGTTTTTCACCTTTTTCATTCCAGATATAATCTGACAGCTTCAAGAATTACCCCATGAATTATCCTCTGATAAACTATCAGACATAATCTACTCACTTTCTGAGTCTATTGAATTACCATAATCACGTATAACCATCATTATATGAGTTCGTTTAAAAATAGTATGCCTTGCAAAGGCACTTATCTTAAAACTGATAATAATACTTGAGTAGCATCTAGCATCAGACAGTGAAGAATCATTTTATTTTAGCTGCTATTATTGCATCAAATTAACTAAATCAATGCAGGTTATCAATCGTAAGTTTTTAGTTTATGTTTAGTTTTTCTCGAAAGAAACCGCCAGTATTTTCATCTTCACTTCTTTGTTCATGGTAGACGTTAAAATTATTATTCAGCTATTACTAACTATAATAGCAAAATATATGCAAATATTTTTTGTTATATACATACATATTTTGTATACATTTATATAACAAAATAATAGAAATCATTAATTCACAGATATTTTCCTGATGCTGAGGGAATAAATGCGAGGAGCTTCAGCCCAAGTTGGCTGACTTCAGCTTGATGCAACGGGCCGTGTTTTCGCTTGTGTTGCTTTTTTTTATGTTGGTGTTTTGAATAATAATAATAATTAATTTTAATAAAGTTAATTCTTCTACATATTTCTGATTTTATTTTGATCGAAACATTGTTTTCATCATCCATTATTTAAAATGATTCTGTTATTTGTATAATAGAAGGAAAATACCGCTCTTATAATAAGGCAAAAACTGTTAAATTGGCCCGCCTGTACCCTCTTAAATAGCCTTTCAAAATAATTTGTTTATTTTAGCTCTCTTAAATTTGTTTGCTTTCACAATCGATATCATATTAAAAGTTATGAATTAAGATTTTTTGATGCCGGTGTTTGCCCCATGGCGCCTAAGGGATACCGGTTGCCTTTGATTTTCTCCGATAAATAGATAATAATAAAAATGGTTCATTATTTGGTAAATAAATTATTAGTTGTTTATCTTAAGTCTGGCACACTTCAAGTGTAATTAAAAAGTTATCTGAGTTAAGATTCCGTCACATGGAGATATCCGATGTTAGATTAACAGTGAAATTTTTTTCATCATTTTAGCAAACAACTTATTTTAATTTTTATATATATTTTTTTCAATGATATACTCGTATACTCTCGTGTACTAAAGTAAATATGCTGTTGTCTGATATGTATGCAATGGAACTAAATTGTAAAAAAAAATATTAATTGGCAGATTGTCTGTTCCTATATGTACATGGGGAGAATGTATTGTGAATGTAAACCGAAAGAAAACCTGTGAAACTCAAAAATAAACATTTAACGGTTTGTTTATGTTTGTGAGATAAATAAGTAAATATATCAAGGCTTGTGTGTCGGTCAAAAAATAGCAATAAGTTGTGGTTACTACGTAGTATCAGAAACTAATAAAAATTTAATTAATAAATAGTTGATACTATCTTGTATTATTTTTTTGCCGACTACGGAACCCTTCTCGATGAATTTATTTATTTATTTTTACATTCTGAATAGCGTAATCAAAAGTAACTGTATAATATTCCGCCAGTCTTCTTCGATACGGTTCCAAAGACAAAAGCGCTGATAGGCCGAGGTACAGGTGATGCACACCTGTTCATACTGTCCTCAAGACAATGACACAATTAGAAGGATACTGGCGCCACTCGATGGGGCCTATCGGGAATCCGAAGAATTTCGTCCTTACTATGACAGAGGATAAGCAACGAGCAAGGGTAAGCAACGATTTACTCGATACCATAAAAAATATGAAGTGAATAATGAAACAATTGGCAGCAATTAAGGATGATATTATTTATGGCATTGAGCAATGAGGATCTCAAGATAGATATTATATTACAAGAATCGGTTATAGGATAAACTGTATAGTTAAGTGGAGCCACAAACTTCAATTCCGTACATGCAAAACAGTCCAGGGTTATGAAACAAATAAAACAGTACATGGTGTTTAATAATAATATTTTTAAATGAAGTTACCAATATCGACTTAATTACAATTTAAATATTCATTCAGTTTTGATTTTACATAAACATATTTTCAAAGAAAAACAAAAATGCGTCACAATATATAATAATATCAATTTTTAATGTCGGAATTCAAAGATATTAACGATAAAAGCTTAGCCGAAATTCCTAGCTATATTTGACTATGTCATATATGAATATGTATTACCTTGAAGGGACGTGGAACCAGTAGGGTTGGAACCGCAAGGAGATTAAAGGGCAAAGTTCCAAGACAAACAGGAAGGCGGCGTCGCTACAGCCAAACCGGCAGTGGATGGAAGAGGTACGATCTTCTAGAGCAGGATGGATAGGGAATTAGCAAATGCGTTTAGGATTGGTGAAGGTAGGGTCGTCGCCCGATGTTAGCGAGCGCTGGATGCAAGAATGATTCGTAAGTTGGTGTTCATGTGCTCATATTAGCTCTGTTAATTTAAAAAAAATGTGGGAATGAAAATTTTTTTTTTATAGTTATTTAAAAATATCTTACGAACATACCAAATTACAAGTTAAATGTTTTAAAACGAAATGAGATAGGTTTCTGAGTAAGAAAACAATGTGGAGTAGATAAGTGGATACTTGGATGGCAGTAATTAAGACATTAACCGTATCCATTGTGCGACCTCCGGGGGTGACTCAGTCCCTGGCCACGAGGTGACGCCGGTGCCTCGGCATCCAGTAAAAGACAAATGACAGGTTTTAGGACCGACTCGATTAGAAGGCGGTGGGATAGCACTCAACTACCAGGCACGGGTCAACCCGGCTGAGGGACTGCGATCTGATGTCACCTTCCTCTGGAATGTCGTAGAAGAATAGCAACTAACAGGAACATCCATTCACTAATAACTTCATAATTTTATCTATTGTGAATGACTACCTTAATTGCAAATGTGGGTGGGATGGTTTTATATTAAAGGTAATCACCGTTGATAGACTGAATTGTGATTATCCCAATTATATACATCGCCATGTTTTGCTCTCACTTTCATTTTATATATGGGTAGGGGTGCCCTGAAGATGACTTCATGGCGCAAGTTTCGCTATCAAAATTTTTGAGAGGGAAAAGTTTCGAAACAGAGAACTAGGAGGGGACACATGGGAACATGTTACATACAGAGAAAGTGTAATTATATATGATCTAATTCTACTTTAGCCTACTCTGTGAATATGATAGTAATATAATTTTTGGATTGGGATCCATGCGCCATCGACCTTGATGGGAATGGTTACAATTGATACATGGTGGATACTTACTATTAGTTGTCATTTATACGTCGCACGACTGACAGAATTGCATGATTTACAACTCACTATCCAGATGGTTAAAAAATCTAATATTTTGATCCTAATTAAGTGCTAATTTGTGTATAGGTTTGAACTCGAGATTAGGATGGAAAATGATTAGGAAGAAATACTTTATTTGCAAGTAGTGTGTAGTTGGGAAATACACAGCAAAAATATCTCATGTTAGAAACGGATACCTATCAATCCGTTTCTAACATAATATTTTTATTTAATTTTTTCCATCTTCTTCTCTTTGCCTTCCATCCTTTTTCTTCTTTTTATTACTTTTATTCTCTTCTCATACCATACCAAATAATCTGATTCTTTTCTTTATTTTCTTTCTTTGATCACTCAATAATGTTACACAAAATCTCAAATTTTCCTTTTCTATAAACTCTCTGTAAGGCAGACTTATTAAAACATAGCCTGCGGTTTCAAATAAATAAAAATATATCTTTTATTCTTATCTCATGTTTGTGAAATGTACAATAAAGCTTTTTAAACAATAAGCTCAGCTTTATCAGTTCATGAAAGTCGAACAGCTAACTCACATTTAAGAGAAACAGTTTTATTATCCCCCCTGGGCGGGAGGAGATTAAGAGCTGTGGGCAGCGGTGAAAATGGGCTAGTTCACGCGAGATGAAAAGCGCCGGCTGGTACCGCCGATAAGGGATACCGGAAAATTGCCGGCAGACATTTCTGGGATCAATACCATTTATTTTGGAAAGGTCATTCCTCATGGTCAGGCTTCACCATTAAATAGTCCCCGCTAAATTGATAGATTTATTGATGAATCTAATCTATTCTATTTTTTATGTAGTTTTCATTTTTCAGATTTATTAAATTGAAAATTCATTCTCTTTCTTGCAGAAATATTCGATTTTATTGATCAAAATAAATAATATAAAATATAATAATTTGTAATTTCCATTTAACTAAAAAAAATTATATGTTGTAAAATTCTGCTTAAAGTACCAGGGTGTCAGCAAACATAATTAAATGAATGTTTGGTCACTAAAAATATATATTTCTTTTTTTCTGTTTGTATTGTGGTATAATCATTTTCATTTGCACGTATATGACAGGTTCTTAAATTATAAATTTGCAATTCGTAATTACTTAAATGATTTTTTTTAGTTATAACTTCCTATTAAAAAAAAAAAAATACACAAAACGTAAATTTAGTGCTGTACATTTCAGTGAATCCGAAAAAAACCATGGGTATAGAAGCGCGGCCTCCATGATTTAGTTTTGGCCTCCAAACGATTTTATTTTATTTATTAATTTAGTGCTGGAATTTATTAATATTCAACTATTTCAGTAATGACAATTTTGAAATTATTAGAATTAAGTGCAATGTATCTATGTATTTAGTGACAAATAAAAATGGCAACAGTGAAATATAATGAATTATTGCTGTCTCCATTAGCACTTCCTAACCCTACTGAGATCTTTAACTATAAAACGGTTTCCCAATTATGATCTATACGGACTTTTTTTGTCGCAAATGAAGAGTAGTCAACTCATGGCTGTTCCAGATACCCCCAATTATTTTGTACAAGTATCTAAACTGAGCGCTGAACACATCGATGGCATCAGACCCGTCTCGAAAAATGCCATTGAGTTTAGGAACATGACCATAGCTGTTACTTTGATAGCTGAAGCCGTTAGGAGGCTACTGATTGAGCAAGCGTTATAAATAATTTGAAATGTCAAGTCTATTGTTTATTTTTATGAAACAACGTCATCATATTGTATCATCAACGATACTATCTATGTTCAATATTTATTTGTTATGTTTGCCGCATGATGCAGTGTATATATACTGCAAATTGTTTTAATTTTATCCTTAATTGCACTCACCCATTCGGAAAAAACAGTTATACGAGTGCAGTTTTAATTAGACAGATTGTTAGTGCTTGAAATAAATTAGTTTGGAGTATTTCCAAGAAGGGTTTTCAAATAAGGCAAATAAACAGATTTGTTATGACGAGAGGTCACGATAGCTGAGCGTGCTGGTTGATTTCGTTGGAGGTACTGGTTAAATTCTCACCTAATTAGATGGGCAGTGATCTGCTGGGCTTGTTCAAGTCAGTCGTTGGTTCATCATTCAACGATTTGTAAAGAAATTATAACAACCATCGTCTCTTGTCAATCTTTAGTTTGTCTCTATCTTAAGTTTATTTTATGTATAAGGGGAGGGAGGGGGAGACGATTTGCACGCGAAATTCCGAGCAATGGAATATACAATTCTCATAGTCCAATTTAAGAAAATTATGCAAATCGTGAGAAAGGAGAAATTCATGAACTGGTTGGATA